ATCTATCTCGATTCGTTTTGCCTGTTACAAACAACCGTTATGTGAACAAAGTTATAATACCTTTGTGCACAAGTGCCCTCGGGTATAAAAATTAATATAGCGAGTTTTGAAACAGTAACTTTTACATAGAGACAGTCTGTTTTTTCGTTAACAAAATATGTAACAAAAATGTGATCTGTAACAGAAAAGAAAAAAAATATAATAAAAAAAATCGAATCTGTCCAAAACTGAACCGGTTAAAAATTAGCTGCAAATTAATGCACTGGGCGACAATTGCCACCGCCAATGATATCGCCGTGTAAAACTGGACGGTTGAAAGCATTGCTTGGGTATTGAGCTAGAACTAGTACTGTCGGCAAAAGGTCTAGTTCTACGCTAGTTCTGAGCTAGTGAGATTTTCTGCAGGGTCGTGCAGTTGAATGAAGCTTTCGCTGCCTTCTAAATCAGAGCGGGAATGTATACGCGAATATGCCCGCCGGGCAGGCGACGCCCAAGGCTGATTTATATGTACACATAAATAAATATCTATATACTTTCTAAAAGGTAATTTTCTGTTACCAAACGATATCTCCTTCAATATTTTATCAATGAATGATATCTCATTTTGAAGGGGATCAGCTGACGTACCTGCGAAAAATAGTCAAGTTGTTCAAATTTAGTTATTTATTAAGAAAGGGGGGGGGGGGGCTTTAAAAAGCTGAAAGCACTGTATCCGCTCAAAAAAGCGCCATATCCTCCATAATACTCCATCAAATTGAATGATTAAAAACATCATTTTGAAGGACAACTTCACTGGTTGCCACCTGCTTAAAATTTTAGTTACTTAAATATGACTGAAAGGCATTTAATAAATATACTCCGAAGTAATAATTTTGAAAAGGGTTGCCAGCTAATTAAAAATGTAAATCTCTATACATATTTATAAAACAAAGTTGCTTCCGTAATACCGAGCATACCGCTAGAATGGGTTGTCCTATGTGAGCTATCTTCTTTTTTGTTGTGTTTGTATCTGTCCAAGGAAATCCGAAAAAATTTTTTTATTTTTTTAATTTTGATCGTTGAGTGGTTGCCCAGGTTCGAAATTCTATCAATGCTAAACAGTTATGTAGGTTAGGTTAGGTTAGGTGATGGCATTGATTATTAAATTATTTGAATGTAATTTTTTATCAGGTAGCAACTCCTTTAGAAAAAATAAAACCAGTTTGTACATCTACAGGCCAAGCGCTTTAATTTGACACCCCATTTTTGAAAATCGAAATCGTTGGTGAAAGTGTTGTATCAAAATGTTCCAACAAAAAATTTATTATATTATTTATTTTAATGACTCTCAGGAAGGCTTTTCGGAAGGGCTGAAATGCACCTACTGGGTAGTATGCATAATTCTCATAAGACTACTTGAATGTACAACCAAGCGGAGCAATAAAGTCTGATCTTCAATCGGAGTTATTTTATAAAATCGAAAGCCATGACTATTCCTCATTTGCTCATTTTCTTCATATTAGGTTTGTTCCACAAGCTACTTGTAGATAAACTCGAGCAAAATTCAAACTGTCAGCGAATATCAAATAAACTATTAAACTTACTTGTGGAGCGCGTATGTGTAACTCGAAGTAACTCGAAGTAGCTTGTGGAACAAACCTATAATCGAATATACTTCGTACGGAAGAAAATGACAGGCACTGTCAAGAAAAAATTTCCAAAAATCAACGGTAAGTTCTAGCAACTCAAACTTACATTTTTTGGCACTAGAAATGAGTGGGCTATACGACTGCGTACTCAGAAACCCCCCTATTGTGAGTCTCGACTAGTAGTGGATAAACGACTATTATTCGATTATCGCTTTTCCATGGTATTGTGAATGTCGATTTCTCCTTCAATAAGCGACTGTGAATAGTTTTTTAGTCGCTCATCCTTCTTCAGCTGTTTGAACGAGACAACGACGTTTAGAATATCATGGAAAAGCGGTAATCTAAACAATAGTCATTTATCTACTACAGTCGACACTCGCAATAGGGGTGAGGATGTTGCCATACAGGAAGGTGAAATTTTTTTCGAGAGAAGAAAACGCCATAAGAAATCGAATAAAGAAGCTCGAAATTTACCAGACGCCATACGGGATCCGCCATATTGAATTTTGCAATTCTGACAGCGAATTCGTATTTAGCGACCCTGAAACCCCCCTAATATGAAATTTCGAATTATTTCTTTAAAGCTTGGACTTTTGGCCGCACTGTGCAGCGGGCCAATGGAAGATTCTTCTACAAACGAAAAGTTTGCTGCGTATTTAAATTTTTCGTAATACCAATTGCAGATGTACACAACTACATACAAACACTACGCTAATATTCAGACAAATTTATTAATGAGATGGAAATAATTATCAATTGCTGGAAGAAAATCCAACCATGAAAATGTAATTGCTAAGAATATTTGAGCAAGAGAGGAGTAGTCTGAGTCAGAAAATGTCTTTATGACGGAGGGGGAATTCATTCCGATCGATTAAGCAGCAATTCAAGTCACCCGAGCAAAATTTAAATCAGCACCGTAACGAATATTAAAGATTTAATTTTGAAAAAAAAACAATGTATTTTGTATGTATTGTTTACTGTAGCACTCTAATGGTTTTAACAAAAGCAAATAGATCGGGTTTTATCAGTTGGAAACCGAGAATATTGTATGACGTTATGCACTGCACTACAAAGTTTATGAAGGTAAAAATCATAGCTGTTAAATTTCCATTACTATTAGTAATCATTAGTGTTTTTGCAGTTTTTAAATTTAATGATTATTTTAATTTTCTTGCATAACACAGCAATTAATAATTAATTATAAATATAAGTCATCAAACATAATAGTGACTAATTGCCATTAAACAAATAATCAAATATGTAATTAGAAATAATAAAATAATCAAAATTAATCAAATTATTTGTTTTATTTATTTGATTATTTTGAATTGTTTGATTATTTCTAATTATATTATTTTTCCAAATAGATGAAGCTGATTTTTTAAGATGAATTTTTAAAAGTTAGTATTAAATTCAACAATTTAGTATTAAATAATAATAATAATAATAATAGCAATAGATTGGCGCTTACACATATGTTAGTGTTTGGCCGAGTTCCGCAAAATAACAAAAAACAAGATTAATTAATTAAAATATTGATGTTACTTACTTTTAATTTTCCCAATTTTTTTTTTTTTATGATTTTATGTGAAGAAATAAGTTCCGGATTGATCTACAAAAGTCGTTGTAAAAATTAAAAAAATTGGTATTCCCACTCTTATTTTCAATTTTTCAAGCACATGCCGTAGACTGAAGATATTGTGGCAGAGAACAAGGATTTCTTTTCTAGAATAAGGGATTAAAATTGCACCTTTTAAGACCTATAAAATTTTCGTATCAAACATATTGTGTTTTTCGACCCACCCTAATGTGCATATATTAACTGCGCTGTAATGTATTATTCACAAGTTGAAATAAATCATAAAATTGAAAACAAAAAATAATCAAAATAATCAAAAATTATTATATTACCTACTCATGTAATTAAAAAAATCAAAACTAATTGAAAATACTCAAATAGTTATGTAAATCACACAATTAAAAAATTAAAAAAAAAATTTAAAATAATCACATATAACAAAATAGTCAAGTAATTAAAATTAATTAATTAATTAACTTTTCTTTTAAGGAATTAATTATTAATCATTAAAAACGTGCAAATAATAGTATCATTAAATGGTTATCCAAAAACAACATACTTTAATTAATAATCATTACGATTATCAATCATTATTTAACAGGTATAGTAAAAACTATTCCAAGACAATGCGTATGGTCAGATAGCAACTATCTTTGGTTAATATTCGAATACAAAACGAGCTTCCGTCATCGCTGGTCAAATTTGGTTGGGAGACAAACCGGTTTCGGCGTTCATTTTCCCAGCTTGTTCCGGCAAACTTAAGCATACAAACTGGCAATGTGCAACGATTACCACACATTTTCCATCCGATCCAAATCGTAAGTCTCTGTTTTCGTTCGCCTAATATGAGACGTCTGCATGAATCCATTCAAAACGATAACTAATATTCTAATTGAATGAATGTGATCGGCTTTGAATTTTATTGAATTTAAATGAATAGGTTTTGATATGAGTAGCGACACGGTAACGTTCAAACGTTGTAAGGCACACTGAATGAATTTGAATTACATTCAGGGCATTCATATAAACGCGTAACTGCCTCGTAACTTTGTAAACCGGTTTTCCGTACAAAATTAAACAATTTTACGAGGTTTACGTGGATATGAGGCGGCTTTTACGCGTTTAGATGAATTGCCCTAATACTTTTTTTTTATAAATATGAATATGTTTTAGAGCTTCCCACATACATGCCTACATACATACATACATATGTACATTTTTGTTACATGTAATCAACGTATGAAAAATCGAACCAATAAATATTAATTTGACAAATAGTCAACATGAAATGAGAATTTTAATAAGCTAAAAATATCTAAAAAAAAGTATGCAAGTATTGATTTAGAAATAAGTTCAAAACAAAGTCGACATCTCTTTGCGCGAATTAAAATTTTTTCTTCATTCCACTATCCCAAGGGAAACCGATTTCAAATGGCGAAAATTTCGAGAATAGTTGAGCACGTTAATTTCTTAAATTTCTGAAAATTTGGCGCGTCTGACTACCCATATAATACCTCGGTTATAGCATTGCGCAACCAAAGCACATTCTATGAGACTTGTTTATATCCATGGGCGTAGCCAGGTAGGGGCAGGGGGGTGCTCGAGAACCCCCCTAACCTTCAAATTTTCCTTATATATATATAAAATAGTACCCTGAAATGCCAGCTTAATAGGGTCGAGCCCCCCCCCCTAAATTTCATTCTGGCTACGCCGATGTTTATATCGCACATATTCATACACACATATGTAAATCCGAATTAATCTATAAAAGAAGGGGAATAAAAACGCCACCGTGATGTTACGAGTGCTGGATTGGAAAATATTATTTTAAGCAATTATTTTCTTTCCTTAGTTTTTTTTTTTAATATTTATACAAATTAAACGCTAATAAAAATGTCTAATAGTACAAGCATTATATAATTCATACATACTTATTTATATACATACACAAATGAACTAAAATTGTATGTCTTCCATTTCGTATCTGTTTTGCTTAGCTAACACTTTCGTGAGCATAGTTTCACCAGTTTGCCATAAGTAATTCACGTTTAGTTTATAGGGACACCTTACTCTTTTTGATCTATGGAAAACTCGCAGCAACTCGTTATAGGTGTCTCTTGAGGATCAAAATTGCTCGTAGTGTTTGAAAATGAATCGTGCCCCAGCTGTACCGCCATTGCCTGTGAACTGTTGGTCGAATTCAGACGACGAATGCCTGGCTTCGTATTTTCTGAATGGCTTCTGACGACGTTATCGTCGGTAAGGTCGACATTGTCAGTTGCTGCAGATGGCACTGGTGATGTGGATGTAAGTGAAACAACACTTGCTGCTGATATTGGACTTAGACGTGTTCGTGCTGGATGCGTGTGTTGAGATGCGGCAAGGATATTTGGCGACGCTGCAGTTGTCTGCATGGATGCAGACGATGTCGCTTCGGCCACAGTAGTTGAGTTTGGCAAAAGCAAAGGCTGCGACACTACTGACGTGTTTAATATTGCCACCACCTCTTGCCCACGCTCAACGATTGGCGATAGTTCCACAAATGATGGTACGTTCGTGTTGATCTGTTCGGCTATACTGTTCCCCTCTCCCTCTTCACACACCACGCTTGCACTCAAGTTTCTCGCTGGCAAATATTCGCCCTCTAAGTGTTGTTGAGTCGTTTCGGAGTCAACCACATTTTCGAATGTTCCTGTTCCCAATGAATTGTCTGTTCTGTTCTGTTTCTTTTCTTCGTTAAGTACAGGCTCTTTATTGACACCCTGGTTTGATTGGCTTTCTATGGAACTCGAAGGGGTTTTTTCATCATTTTTCGACATTGCTGCGTCGTTATTAATGTTTGCCTCATTTTTGCATGAACTTTCTTCCTCCGGATTTTCACATTTTGGAGCTGAAAACAAATAGAGTTTCGAAAAAAATAAATACACATCCTTAAGGGGTTACAACACAAAATCATTTTCTTTCTTTTGCTTAAAAAATTCCGCATATGTACTCTGAAGGTTATTTTAAGCAGTTTCCCCTGCCATAACTCAAAGTACTACAGAACTTACCGCAGTTAGAAGTTAGAGTGGTAGAAAGGCGCTACATTTTTTCCGTTTCTTTTTTCTTCCAGATCTATTGGACCTGTTGGATCTATTGGATGATAGCGAATTTTGGATGATAAGGACGTTAAACTTCGATTGGTTCATAAAAACCATAATAACGAAGGAAACAAAGGCAGCTATTGAAAGAAGACAACCAAAAAAAAAAATCTTCCGATAGAGGCTATGTTCTATGTGACGTATGTCAAAGTTCAAGTAACGGTGGCGACTTTTAGAGTTTAAATACAAAGTTGATACATCTGACTTACGACCGGTTTTATACCATCAATACCCCTATGTGCGGTGATTGCAAACATACTGGCAGTTCCAAATCAGCCATGTCTGTATATTTCTGGTCTGGACCGCTGCGGACATTCAGGCCCAAACCAAAGCGATACCACCTAAAATTTTTGATTTTGTTTTCAACTTTTGGCTCATTCCACGGTAATCGATACCGAATAAAACGAAAATAAACTAAAGAATATGACTGTATTATTTCTAGTAAGTAAGAGTAAATAAATCTAACTTTCAAGACTGAAAGCCAAAATTCTGAAATTTATCTCAAAATCAGATATTTTTTTTAATCTACGTTGTACCATTTACAAACCCATAATATGAGAGGTTAATTTTTTTTCAAAATTTACAAGACTGATTTTCGTAGTCTATTAACGTTTTTTGCATTGTTTAAACCGTCAGTGGAGAGACAAATTCGTTAGCATTGTAACGGCGTAATTTTCAAATTTTTCGGGCAAATACTAAATATTTTATTATATATTGAAGCAAAGCATATTTTAATGTCACGCCCGTCACAAGATACACAAAATAGTTATTTTTTTTGGGAAAACACATCTTGGGCAGTGTAAAAAAGCTGACGAAAGTAACGCTATGACACAGGGAAATATGTGCGAATTGCTTTTAAGTATTTATATGCTTTTATTTTCGAAAAAAGAACCAACCGATTATGTTGGTCACGCCCGTCACATGTCACACCCGTCACAATTTAAAGTTTGACAAACTTCAATAAATTCGGCCAGGGACTGCTACCGTTACTTATCAGCTAATCTGAAATGTGTCATATACTATATCTGTTTGTGATCAGCGATGATAAAGCTAATCATAAAAAGATATGTTGCTCGAGCGATGGGAAAACTTAAGCTATGCTGTCACGGATAAAAAGATATCATTACTTCGCTTGTCAGGGCAAAAAAAAGTATCTGAAACGGTTTTTCAGTGACTAAAATTCACGTCACAGTGACTAAAATTCAGATAACTCGTTCGGATTAAATTGTTTTTGGAATTTTTATTCCAGGCATTGTGTATATCTCGGAAACCTACTACAAAATACTCGTTTATACGTTTTAAAGAATTTTGTATTACAGTTTAGGAATTAACCCTTAAAATGTGAGTTGAAATGTCACACCCGTCACCGTGGAATGAGCCTTTTGTATTTGTTCTACCCCAAACACATAAGGCTTTATAAGGACCAAAATGTTAAAATTCGATTCATCGCAGAATTTATCCGTTATTCGAAATACCTGATAGTCCTGATCAAATTGCGCTTGGAAAATTTTAAGCGCCACTTCAATTTGTATGGCTTATAAATGGATTATTTTAGCTGATAGTTTTGCATTTTCCCGGAATTTACGGACAATTTAGCGCCACTTGGCTGAATTGAAAAATTTGGTATGCGCATTTGTGCCCTTATCGTGCGTTCTATTTTTGCGCTGACAAAACCGCACAGTAAAACCACTCCAGTCCAATCCTTTCACCAAGTTTTATACGCGACTTTTAACCTTTCTGCACAAATTGGGTCAAAAAGATCCAATTTTTAAAATTAGGCTAATAACCAGCGTTTAAATCAATTTGAAATTTTTCTTAATTTAGTTTTCATGGGTGGCTAAAAGTTTTGATAGCTGCTGGTTGAAATAAGCTGTGAGCCACTGTATGCGTCAGAAGCAAAATTATTTTTTACCAAATTTTCCGACCGTCCGGATGGTGTAATCCCTTAATCTAACGACAATTGTGAACTGAATAAAATTAAATACTATATACTAAGCTAAATATGGTTATTGTACTAATGTAGATTTTTTGGGCAGCGAAAAAGATATTTTAGCGTCCACAAACGAGTGGCCCTGTACACAGAACATAGAGAATGGATCCCTAACCTAAACACTGCGAGTTACATAATTGGGAACACTTATTCGCCTCTTACAGATCTATTCTGCACGTTACCGAAGATTTTGTAACTGGAAAATTGTATTACCAAAATATTTTTGCTACATAGTTCTTTCACCAGTGTGTATTTGGAACACCTCATAGATGTTGCAAAAAAAAAAAACAAATGGAAAAAAAAAAATATTAAAAAATTAAGTTCTAATGTATTCACCTGTTATTGTTGTTGATACCGGCTGTAGTTCTGCGGCAGTATTTGGCATAGCCTCTGCTGTCGTCGCGTCATTCAACGAAGAAGTTGCCACTGATGGGGGGGTTTGTGCAACATTTTCAGCGGCAGTTGCCGACCTCGTGTCTACATCGTCTGTGGCTGGCGGATTAAAAGAGATTGTTATGCCAATGGTTTGGCCGCTGCCACTACTGGTGTTGCTTCCCATTGCCATTGCCATTGCATTTGTTGAGCCATCTGCGTCTGCCACCTGTGTTATGGTAATATTGCCATCTATCGTTGTACCGCCGGTGCCACTTCCACTTCCAGCACCATCACCCGTTGCTGCTTCGCCTGCTGCTGAGGCAGAGGCAGCGGCTGCATCTAAATTTGCCGGATTTATTTGAATGGAACGCAAATTGATGCGTTGCAAATTGGCGATTTGTACGCGGACACGTGGCGCTCCCATCCAGCCACGTTGTAGAAGCGTGCGCCGCAAAGTGTCCACAGCTCCGACGCGTCGCTGCAGCAAGCCACCAACGAATGGTATTTGTCGCTGATTGCGAAGAGCATCAATGAGCTGCTGTTCTTGTTGTTGCTGCTGTTGCTGTTGCTGTTGCTGACGAGCCGGGCGACGAAATAGTCGACCCATTATAATTGCAGCAGGACGCCCCTGGCCCTGCAGCTGCTGCTGCTGCCTCTGTTGGGGGCCATTCCCTGCCACATTCTGATTGTTTGTTATGATAAGTATTTGCGCTTGTTGAATAATGACAGGCAGCTCGTAACGATGGAAAAAGTAAAACATGGAGTGCTGCATGTCGGGCAAGAGAGAAAGAGAGAGAAAATGGACAATCAGATTGCGGGATATGGCAATATATGTAGAAGAACAGGCGAACACATTATGTATGTATGTATGTCCATGGTTTACACGTGATATGTATCAAAAGCAGTCATAACTGCGCAGTTGGCACTCTTATAACTCATCGCCGCTATAACTACCTCGGCACTGGAAGTCTTCATGCCACTCCATGGTATGAAAATTTTTTAACAATTTTCTTAAATGTATTTTTAATAAGCTACATACATACATACATAAGGTGCATTCTTTTACAACCGAGCTACAAAAAAACACTCGCTTAAATAACGAAATACATGCAAAGCAACAACACAAACCCGGCTATTTATTCGAGTTCAGCCAGCTCGGTTAAAAAAAAAAAACGCGACCTTAAGGCCAGGGTAGTTAAGTGAAAAACTGCTTTATTGTGAATTGTTAATGGAAAAGTGATTGTGGAAATTTTTGCTCCCTTATATACACTGCCGGAACAAAGTATTGGCACAGCAAATTTTTCACAATATATGCAACAATTTTTATTCTAATATTTTTCTGCCAATTTTGTAGAAAAATATGGTTCATTCAACAACAAAAAACATAAAAATATAATTCCTAAACTTTGTGCAAAACTCGCGAAAATTCAGCAAATTTTCATCAAAATTTTCAACTTTTTAATCAGATCAGATAGATCTTTTTTGAGTATGCAGTTTTGCAGCCCATTAAATTCTAGTAAAAAAATGCAAGTTCGGAGTTAGTCAAAAATCGCGTTGATTTTTGGGAATTTTTTTTGTTGAAGGTGTTTTGCATATTTTCCATATAAAGTATTTTCGAAAAAACAAAAATTGTATGGAAGAGACTGCGTGAAAAAAAATTGCCAAAAATCAACGGTAATTCCTAGCTACTTAAAACTTGCACTTTATTATTATAAAATTGATTGTACCCTCATTTTACCTTTCATCCTTTGAATGCGCTTATTGGCAAAGAAATAAAAAGGGTGAGAAAATACTTTTCCAATGATACCTCACAAGCCTAAATCAGAAGAGTTTAGGTTCAGTTATTCAAGTTTTTCTTATACCAATCTTTGAAAAAAGTTAAAAAAACAGCATCAAAAATCTCATCTTACGATTCCGTTCAAAATTTGTATTTTTTTATTTAATATTTGTATTTAAACTTTTTAAGCTTAAACGGTTTTGTCATTTGGGGTAATTTTTTTCAAAAAAAAAAATCTTTAAGAAACTATTTTTATTCATAAAAAACTCCATTTTTGGAGGTTTTTTCAAATCGGTCCAGCTCGCTTAAATCTTAAGATTTTTCCGAAATGTTTTGGTGGACGTCTTAAAATATAATAGATTTTATAATTCCAATGGAAAACCAGTACCGATTTTTTTTATATGGGGAGTGATGCAGTTTAATATATATGTAAGTAAAAAATTTTAGCTCCCATTTTTAGCCACAACGACTTTTTTAAGCTTTTTTTACATAAAGCGAAAATACATACATAAATAAACTTTTTTCCAAAAGAAAATATTTTATGTTACTACTCAAAATGATATCTATGTACTTTTAATTAAAACAAAAGTTTACCAAAATTGTTTTTGTGTGGGATTGAAAATGAGAACGTGTGAGCTAGGGCCAATTTCAATTACAGAAAACTTAAATGGCTCTTAAGTTTTATTCTGGATTGTTATTTAAATGCCATTTAGCTTTCGTTGGGTTTCAGAGCAACTTTCTTTAAATGTACCAAACAAGTGGCAGCACTGTTGCTTGTTCCTTGAAATTGTTGTCGCATTAGTTTGTTTATTTACAGTTTTGTGCTGAACATCTGATTGTTGTCGAGAACATTATCGAGAACCTACCTGAAAATCGAAAAAGTTACCGTTTTTGAAATCGGCAATTGCCATGATTTTAAACTTCACGTATTCTAACAATGGAGCACCCCTCTAAAATAGTCTAATCGGAAATTCCATCGTTCCAGACCGATTCAGCTGAATCTGGTTCAAGGACACCGTGAGTTATGAGTTGGTAGCTTTCTTGACAATTTTTTTTTTAACTTTTAATTATTCTTTTTGGTATAGAACAATCCTAGGGGGTGAGAGCATCAAAATTCCGACTTTACTTTTTCACATGCATTTTGGACCACCCTAATGTACATATGGGTCAAAATCATGGATCCTTTCAGTTGCAAGTAGATTGTAGTCCAGTCAGTTTACAATTTGATCTCATTTTGCCGATTGATATAATTTGCAGTCGACGACAGATTTAATAGGCTGACTCAAATGCATTTTTATTTTTCGTTTATTTCATCCGAAATAGCCGATAAGTCATTCCGGGATTACTATTTTCCTTTCTGGGCGCCTTCTCTATCGTGTACTGGGACCCACTGCAAGGAGGGGCTGCTGGTCCTATCGGTGTCACACACACAGCAGACGACAGTCTGGCTAGCTGATCAGCTTCTTCATTTCCTTCGACTCCCGTATGCCCTGGTGGTACCCATCTTAGATGGATGGTATCTATTGTTCTCAGCAAGGGCATTCGGTTTCTCGATGCACTACAGGGCCAAAGAGGATTTCACCTCGAAGCATGATACAAAATGAAGGAAGGCCGTTTAAATTTGATTGTAGTAGTTAGTTAGTGCATTTGATGCCACGAGTATGGTCATTAATGACTACATAATTTTTGAATTTTTGAATTTTGGATTTTGTTTGCGAGTCTTGCAACGCCTTTGCGCTTCAACAGAGTAGACATTTTTTATTTGCAATAGCCAACTTTATTGCAATTGGTCTTTAACAACGTGCAGGCTCCGAATAAAATCGATAGCCAGCCACGTGAGCGAGCGCCAGCGCACCTGCACCGTCATCCACAATGACATCAACCAACCAACTAACCAATTTGGATACAAGAGTACTTACATACGCGTGTATACATGTATGTATGTATGTATGTACTTATGTATGTATGTATGTTATATAGATAGTACATAGCTAGAGGAATGCACGTGACCGACACAGTTACGGTGGCACACTGTTCTAGCCAAATGCTGATGCCAAATTAATTTTAGCATAAAGTTTACGGGAATACTAGATACATAACTGTACAATGCGAAATTTGATGCAAACACCTTTTTGCAAATATCATAAAAAAGCTGACACTTAAAGAGACGAAATATAGAAATTGGAATATTTTCCCCTATAATTTTCGCTATTTTTCTCCAATTTTGCAAATTTCTTTAAATTTTCTTGCCGTACACTTCCTGACGGGTAACAAACCACAAACAAAAATATTTTATTACTTAGCGGACTTTTTTCGCTCACATTTTTTAACCTGGCTAAAAAAAAAAACAAGATTTTGTTAGTTTAAGGGCCGATTTCATAATAACATTAAAGAATATTTAAAAATTTAAAAGATGCTTTTTTCGCTGATCGCGGTCATAAAGCCACTTTAAAGATAACGGTGCCCATAAAGGCTCTTTAGTTAAATAACCGAAATGCAAATTTGAATGACGTATAACGGTCCGTGTTGTAAGAAAACAAAAGTATGTAATTTTCGTAGTATAATTACATATTTATCACAATCAGCTAATGCAATTTTACTTAGATCAGCATAACCAACTTTGTTATTTCCATTTAAATGAACATTTTGTTATAATTCAATTGCCATTGCATTTATGAAAACACTTCTTGTTTAAAGTACATTCAAATGACACTTTAACCAAAAGGAAACTTTTGCAAAAAGAACTTAAAAGTGTTTCATTATGAAAATGGCCATAAGAATTTTAAAACATTAAAAAACGAAGCAACTGCTACCGGGATCATTAAAATGGAGTGGTTCGAGAGCGAAGCGAATAAAGCTTCGTTGCACTCTTTCAAGTCTAGAGCAATGAGTTGAGTAAATTGGTTTCCCGACTAAAGAGGCGTATTCCAGCTTTGAATGAACCAGAGAGTTATACAGAATTTCTTTGAAATCTCTACCGTAGCGCCGCAAAAAAGCAAGGTTAGAGTAGGCTTTAGGAATGGTATAGCTAATGTGGTTAATGAATCAAACATTACTCCTAGGTCTGAAAATTCCTTAAAGGTGCTCGTAAACGATGAGAGTAAATACCTTGAGAATAAGAATTCACTCTCATTCTCCCCGTCTAACAAGTAATGAGAGTGGGTATTCGTTCTTAACGTGGAGTTCTCATAAATTCTCAGCACTGGAATATTCTTACCCGTGTAACAAGTGTGTTTGATAGTTTTCGTACACTCTCACTCATATTTTCAGCCCTCATATGCTACGCGTTACATGTTTGTGCAAATTTTCGGAGGACACTTTATTTTTTCGCTCATTTCGCGAGATACTTAAATTTTCCGCATAGTACAAATTTTGATAAATGACAAAGGGAAAACATATATGTATATGCATATGTATTCAGTGGCAGCTTTTCAAATTGGATCGAAAATATTGAATCGAAAGAAAACTGCTTTAAACGAACTACACCCCGCGATATCACATCAACATTTCGTCGCTGCGCCAACAAAAACAGTTATGTGGTTTTTAATAACTTTTCAGGAGAGCAAAAAGGCTGATGGTGCTAAAGTAATTTTTTATATGGAAAAGAGTGAATAACACCGGCAGCAAAAAAATTATCAAAAATCAACGCGATTTTTTATAAACTCAAGCTATAAAACTGCATACCGAAAATTATTCTAGAGATTAGAATTAAAATGCTTGGAACAGGGATGAAAAGTTTGCGGAATTTTTATGATTTTCGTACAAAGTCTGAAATTTAGATTTATATATTTATAGATTGTTAGATAAAGAGCTATACTTTTATATAAAAATAATGAACCTTTAAAAAAGCAAAACAAAGGTAGTCAAAACTGGTAAAAATGTCGCTACAGCGAAAAATGGTTTGAAAACCCGCTTAAATTCAAATCCGCATAAAAATAAACCGCATAAAAAGAGACCTAAGTGTAATAGATTGTATGATTCCAGTGGAAAAACAGTACCAATTTTTTTTTTTTGTATGGGGAGTGATGCACTCTAATATACATATATATGTACAAAACACTCGTATGCGACTTTTTCATGGCTGCGAGAAAATTTAAAAATCGCAGATCAAATTTTTCATAAACCGATCTCGGGCTCAAATATAATCAATCATTAACAACAAATATATGTATATCAGCTCATTGCGATTCACAGATATACATACATACATAAATATATAAGTGTAACGGTACTTACCTGTATGAATAACCAAGAGGATACTAATGCCAAACTTCGGTTTTGTCCACTGAAGCGGTAATGATAAGCGTAGAATGCAAAATGGTACAAATAAAAGAATCTGAAAAGAAAAATCAAAAAATAGATATGTAAATGTAGGAAATGGTAACGACGATTACAATAAGGCCGAAAATCGTGAAACTACGTTATTAGTTTATATTTTTTACCCTTTCATCTTAAAAAAAAAGGTAATTAGTTAAAAAAGTAGTGCTAAATAATAAAAGAACAATATTTTTTATAATTTTACGTGATTTTTGATAAAAATTTAAAACTTCATAAACTTAAAATTGAAATATCTCAAGCAGTATTGAAGTTAGCGATTAAGCGCTAATGAGCTTTTTTGTAGGAAATAAAATTTCCTACAAGTTTCTCATTTACATTTTTTCTATAGCTCTTGTCATTTACGAGATAAATGCGAAAAAACGTAAATTTCATGAAAAAATCAGGTTTAGTGGCCCGTACTACCTCGCCGGTGTGAGTTACGACTTCGCCGCAGTGGGCACTTTTGTGGAGCATTTAATGCTGAGAAAATCCCCATTTTGGACAAGGTGATACCATTAAATGCCGCTGAGCTATAGAAATTAAAAAAAAATCTAAGTTCCCGTGTATTTTAAATGGAAAATCTTCACACGCCTTGGCCGAGTACTTAAAATTAATATTAAGGGCTCAAACTTTCAGGGAATTTTTTTTTGGGTATTTCCAACAAAATTTCACGATGGGACCGAAAAAAACAAAAAATAGTCGCAAAAAAAAAGCACCCTAATAATATATACCACATTGCACTGATTTTTAATAAATAATTTTTTGGATGATTTATATCATATGAAAGTCCTTTGAAAAACTCCTGACATCAGAGAGAAGAAAAGTAAAAACGCGGTTCATAGCTTCGTGAGTATATTGATTGTTTCTTTTATTTTGAAATTTTGCGGTTTTTGTCGCACGGTTTAATTAAATATATCCAAATCATATAAATTTGTTTACTTAATATTATTTCTGCAACTTTCTCGCTTTTCAGCTGATTTTGGGCTTCTAGATAGGAAATTTAAATGGAAAGCAGACATTATAGTTAACTAATTGGAAAAGTTTCGCTTTATGGGATTGGAAATAAAACAACCTATTTTTCCTATATTTCACGTACTTTCATACCTGCCCGGGTGTGCGCGGCCTCGCCTCTAAGTCTTATCCGATCGCCACCAAATTTTATATTGGAACCATAAACGCTAAAAGGAAACTTTTTCTCTCCGGCGGTTTGAAATTCATTTTAAGGGCCATATAATATAGTGATAAACAAAATTACATAAATATTTAAATTTTGTGGGAAAACACAATCAAAGTTTGATCAATTCATACAGATGGTGTATCAAAAGGCTGATGAAAGACACATATCTTCGCCATATTTATGAAGTTTATTGGTCATCTCTTCTAGGTTGAACATATTCTCCCTAATAAGCGTATTAATTGTATGATGAAATCTCTAAAAACGTAATTTTTGAATTACATCTCTACATTATTAAACAATAATAACAATAATAACAATTAATACAAATTTAGGCTTTTTATTTCCCCATGGACCGATGGACCGTGGAGGTATTACGATAAGGAAAGGTCGCCAGTTGGAAAAGAAAAAATTTTATTTGAATATTGAAATTGTACAACATGCAAAAAACGTATGACAAACAATTTATTCGGCGAAGTCCTTAATTTTCTAGCTATTAGCCTTTATTGGTATTTCTGTTTGGAATCTGTTGTCGTGAGAAAGTAAAAAAAACGACTATGGAGCTTAATTGAAATATTAGCCTTACTTTTGTTGTATAATACGTATACGTATACATACATATGTGTTTGCGTTGATGTCGGCCAAGTGAATAATTACAAATGTATAAGTACATATGTATGTATGTGGTTACAATTTTTTTTCTGCTATACATATATGTATATATAAAAATAGCGTCTATATAAAGAGGGGAGAATGGGTAAAGTATACGCAATCGTAGAAATTCTAATTATACTATACATTCATACATACAAACATATGGATGTATAAGCATATTTATTTGCATACGATTCCAATTCCTTTTTCACTAAATTGCATCTCAAGGGTATATAGGTTGGATATCCGATAGCAACCATCATTGCACAACGTTCCCTCTATCCCTGCTGCCAGGCGCACAACCACTAAAATTTAAACGAATTATGGCGGATCATCTTTGACGCACTCGCGCAAATATCAATAAGAGTGACACGTTGGCTGACTGACTGTTTGCTTACCACTTTCTCCCCAGTATGTGTATATATATGCTTGTGTACATACATATTTAAGTGCTTGTACGCAATACACTTTACTGAAATGATTTCATAATGGCTCCACAGGCTATGTACATATGTTTAGATATATGTACATATGTACTGTACTATGTGCCATAGGCAAAACAATGATTATTTTTTCCAATAACATTCAACCAAATGAAATGGGTCATTCAACAGGTCGTAGAAGCCACAAAAACAACACCCAACAATAAAGGCAAAAAAAACAAACAAACAAACACACCCAAATGGTAGGGATAACAAAAGAGCTAACCCCCTCGCCCGCCCCCCTCAAATATTCGATGCCATTTGGTAATCCACAGGAAAAACAGAACAAGGAATTTTCTGTGCTGTCAGGTATATAAGTAATAACTACATTTTTGACATTTTTTAGTTTTGTTAGCTAACAGCCTTTTTATGTAACACGAAGGATTCGTCGTCTTCGCCTTGCTTTTCATCTATTACGTTTAAATCGTCTCGGTAAACCGGCTAGAATGATGCCGCCGGACTAATTTTTGCAGCATTCCTCCGCAGACGAATCGTTCGGCTGTAAATACTATTTTTTTTTTTTATGAAAGCGCATTTACTGAGACGAAGAAATAATGCCAGCTCTTAATAATAAACGAGTACCACCTATCGTGAACTTCAAAACTGCTTTTAGAATCCCCAATATTTTTAAAATATTTCATTGTAAATGCAAGCGACATTTTTCCAAATTGTGAAATGGAGTTAGCTTTTTTATTCTGGACACCACCACAGAATTGAAATATAATAATTATCTCCCACCCTATGGAATGTTATAAAAAGTGATTCATTATACTTTATTTATTTATACACTTAAATATACTCGCATGCACTCGAGTGTCCTGTCCAATAGTTTTCATATAAGTTTTGCGCAACATCTAGGGCACAATAACAAAGCTCCACCTTTGCAGAGCAAACACTTGGCTAACTCTTCGAAAATATTGCTCGGCTAATGGCGAATTCTACTTTAATTCAATCGCCAACCTGGTAAGTAGTTTCTACTACTTGTTGCTATATTATGTGGCATGTGTGTGTATTCTTAGACTAAAGCTATCGATATCCGTTCATTACCGGCTTCGGACGTGGGTGGCGATGACATGGGGAGGCTGGCTGAACCAACACCACCGACTGGTCTGAGTGGTGGTCGAGTGAATTATGTTATTGAATTAAAGTACAGTTGCTGGTGGGCACAGTCTCCTCAGTATCAGTTTCAGTATCCCTGCCGCCACCCACGGCAGTAGAGTGCGCCCCCCCACCTTTCAAGCAGGAGCGTGTTTTCATAGCATGGCTATGTTTTACAACACAATACAGCTTGTTTTTGTTTACCCTCAGCACGGCAACATTCTTGTTACTGACGCGCTGCGCTGTTTCATCTGCACCACTGAAAATTGCACAATTATTTAGTGGCTGGCAACCAAGCCTAACTGCATACAGACATATGTATGTATGTATGTATGTATGTATGTATGTATGTATGTATTTTGTTGGGTTCCTCTTTCTGTTAGGTACGCTCGCCTTAGGACGAAAGGAGCGTTGGACAAGCACTCAGCGTCATTACGAGCACGTTCTCTGCGGTATTTCACACAATCTGGCTTTCCATGTCGTTTCTTTTCCAATTCACTCACTTTGTTAATGTAGCGAAAAGACGTCAACCGTTCAATGTTGATTTGAATTGGAACGGAGAAACCTTGAGCAGACAATAGGGGTACGACGATATGCAGATTCATAGAAATGGCTCCCACTTTCAACTGTAAAACACTTAACCCCCCACTGCATTGATTAAAAGTATCCTTGGTAGTCCTTGGTAGGGTCATATGTCGGTGATCGTTTGAAAAAACAACTTAAAACTTTCACACATACGATACTCTATAAATAAGTAATATTTTAAAAAATTTAGAAATAATTTGTATTTTGTGGTTTTTGCATATAAAATGGTGGAAATTAGTGCAACCAAAAATATGTCCTTAAAAACTAGATTTGAAAGGCTTAAAAATTCAGGAAGAATTAGCCTTCTTTCGAAATGGGGGAAAAAACAACAACAAAAAATTGGCACAAGAAGCGGTACGACACAAATGGTTGCTGGTTTCTTCACGGAGGAAAAACCAGGAAAGATGACAAGTTTTCTTTTTGTTCCCGAGCACCAGGGATTAATTGCACGCCCAGCGGTTTTTATCAGACAGATGAAGCTGTTGACGCGCCTAAAAACCATGTTTTCAGATACCAACTTCACTGTAGGAAAAATGCTTTAAGGAGCGTACACTAAAAAAAATAAAAAGATTAGTTTCGACAACTAAATATATTTAGTTGCCAAATTTGTACCATATTTGCCAAGGTTTTGGAACTATTACCAGTGGTTGGTAATTATAACTAAATATAAATTATGGTTGTTTTTGTTCCACACCATTTTTCATAAAAAGCGGCTTCAAGCTCAATAAAATTGTTGAATATAAATATATTAAAGCTTGTGATATTTATCTATATTAAACCAAATCGTTTAGTTCAAGGATTTGGTAAATACTAATTAATATTGCTTTGAAGAATATTTCTACAAATTCCATTCAACTTAAAGTTAGCTTCATAAAACGACAAGCTTTCTCCCCACACATGTTGTAGTCGTAGTTACCAAATCTTAGTTGAGGCCAGTGATGGAAAAGTAGGTAGATCCTATTTAATTTTTTTCAGCCCTTTTATAATTTGAAGGTACATTCGGTTCAAAATTTTTTTTTTTCTGGA